TGATAGAGACACCTACTTATAGACTTATCACCAACCAAATTTAGCACGTGACAATAATATATATATATATATTAATTAATTTAATTAATTAATAGAGACATTACTGTAAAAGTTATTGCAAATTTTAACACAACCTAAAATCTTGCCCATGAACTATAAGAAGTTCATTCGTAAGTTTTTAAGACGTTCCCCTTCCTTACCGTATCTATATGGTCTTATTAAAACGAACCCAATAATCATGCAAGACCTATTATTAGTTCTGTGGGATCTGTGGCAGACTTTCCAAATGACTTGTCCAAGTATTGTCCCCAGTAGTAGGCTCGATTTCCAACTCACATAACAAACAATTTGAACTTGGTTAGCAAGCTGTCTGAGTTGAAGTTAAATTTGGATTTTAAATTTGTGAGTTTTTATGTGACTGCTCTGTTCACTAGAGTTCGTGTTGATGACCTGTTGTCTTTCTTCTGAGATGAACTTCCTAAAAATATATTAACTTTACCTTCTAACACCATTGCTGAACTCATAAAATTTTGCATAATGGATAATTATTTCATGATCAATGATTTTTTATATAAACAAACATTTGACATGGCAATGGGTAATCCCCTCTCCCAAGTTTTGAGCAATTCGTACATATAAAATTTTTAAACAAATATCTTACCCAGAATTTTACCCTCGATTTTGGTATGGTATAGGTACGTTGACGATATTTTATGCCTGTGACCGATTAACAATGACCAAACAGATTTTCTCGTTTAGCTAAATTCGCTGGTTCCGTCAATTTGAGTCACAATGGAGAATAAAGAGAATGGTGTCCTGCGTTTTTTAGACATCATGATTCATAGTATCGGTAAGCGTTTCAAATTCAATGTGTGTAGGAAACCTACCAGTGCAGGCTTGTATGTTCATTATTATTCTAAACATCATAATCAGGTTAAGAAAGCAGTATTTTCTGGAATGTTTCTCAGAGACCTGAGAGCTTGCAGCCCGGATGTTTTGGATGAAGAAATAACGAAAATATTGGAAATTAGGAAGAAGTTAAAATACCAAAAACCTTTCTTGGATGTCGCGTTTGGGGAAGCAAAAAAGATGTTCTACAAACATGCTCCCGAGTCTAGACAAGAACATTAAAATTCGCTGGTTTTACCATATTTTGAATGACTAGAAAAACTTGCCACAGCCCTGAAAATCTTTAATATTAATCCAGTGTTACAAATAATAATACAGTTAAGTTAATTTTATTATGAACTCTCACCCATCAGTAGCAGGTTGTGTGTTCTCCATCCCTTCCTTGCAATTAGTGTTCATTTGTTTACATCGGCCAAATCTCTTTCCTTACGCAAAAAACAACATTCATATGCTATTCGCACAGCCCAGCACTCTAGTGCATTGTATTTACATTCCAGTTTATGTAATCATTCTATCGTCTTCAGAGGGGCCAAATGTATTGTTAGAAGTAAGGGTTTCTTTCAACGAAATTTTATTAAGTGGTCTCTGATCAAACAATGTAACAACAGCCTTAACACTATTGCGTGCCTAACGCGATGCCTCCTGCGGACCTGAAGGTATGATGAGGGTTGAGTGTGAACTTAATACAACACAAAATTGTTTATACTCTTTTCAGCTTTCTGACCTTAATTGTCGTTCTACGTCGTTCAATTTGGTATCACATTGTTCGCAATAGTATGCTCTACGGGAATATTTGCTTATAAGAACAAATATTAGATCAACGTTACCAATAGTGTAAGATAAAATACATCATCATGTGAACAACACCTGTTTTTCTTAATTGTTTACATTCATTATTCATTCCCGACATTGTTTATGATACCCTATCATACGTTTTTGTGTTGCTTCCTTCATATGTGTTTGTACCACAATATCATGTATATATATATATATATATATATATATATATATATATATATATATATATATATATATATATATATATATATATATATATATATATATATATATATATATATATATATATATGTCGTACCTAGTAGCCAGAACTCACTTCTCAGCCTACTATTCAAGGCCTGATTTGCCTAATAAGCCAAGTTTTCCTGAATTAATATATTTACTATAATTTTTTTCTTGTGAAATGATAAAGCAACCCTTTTCTCTATGTATGAGGTCAATTTTTTTTTATTGGAGTTAAAATTAACATAGATATATGACCGAACCTAACCAACCCTACCTAACCTAACATAACCTATATTTATAGGTAAGGTTAGGTTAGGTAGCCAAAAAAGCTAGGTTAGGTTAGGTTAGGTAGGTTAGGTAGACGAAAAAACATTAATTCATGAAAACTTGGCTTATTAGGCAAATCGGGCCTTGAATAGTAGGCTGAGAAGTGCGTTCTGGCTATTAGGTACGACATATATATATATATATATATATATATATATATATATATATATATATATATATATATGCGAACAAGCCTGAATGGTCCCCAGGACATATGCAACTGAAAACTCACAAATATATATATATATATATATATATATATATATATATATATATATATATATATATATATATATATATATATATATATATATATATATATATATCTGTACTTTCTATCCAATGATGTTTGTAGAGCATCAGTTGAACAATAATTAGGTAGAACTCCTCCATTTCCTCTAGAAAAAGGCTCCCTGAATTGGCTCAACCGATGTTTCATAGGTGGAGGGGGTATGGGGAAGCATCTCCATATTCCATACTTGTCAGGCTTATTTGGATTATAAACCATGAAAACTAGACGTGACATTGTCATGACATTGACATTGTACCTTCATCCAGACTCAGATTTTTCTCATGAATGTAGAATGTTTTGCATTTATGTGTTAGGTATTCCATTACTGTTTTAACCTTTATTAGTCTGTCTGTATTGTCTTTGGGAATGGCATTATTGTTATGAGTATGAAAATACCTTGCAATCGATTTATATCGTTTTGCAGTCATAATATTATTGAGAGTATTATAATACTATAATATTATGGAATGTACCATTCCACAATTTTGCAGTCACAATATTATTGAGAGTATTATAATACTATAATATTATGGAATGTACCATTCCACAATTGACCTGTTTGCCAGTACATACTGATCATATGGCAGCCTCATAATTCCCATCAACATTGGGAGTCCCAAATATCTTGCAAGATCTTTCACATTCACATCAACCCACTCATTCTTGTTTGTAGATGCATTGGACATGCTTTCTGATGCATGCAAGTGTGTTTCATATGCAAAATAATTCAGTAACTCTCGCACAATAAATAACTATAAAAATCCCAGAGGAGTGGTTGGTATAGGGATAGTGAAGCCTGGTGTTCCAATAAAACTCTGTACAAATTGTGCAGTGTTGTCAATAGACCAGGCTTCAACAAAATTGTTGAGTTGGGTACGTGGGATATGTTGGGCCCGTACTGTACGCGGGGCCCGTGTGGTTCCACTCCTAAATGAAAGGCCTGTACGTAGGGCTGCATCATAATTGACATCACTCACCTCACTTTCAAACTAATCCTCTGGTGCTGTTTGTTTCAACCACCTCACTATCTACATCACTATCACTTTCTCCTCTATCAAAATCACTGCCTGAAAATTCATCAACTACCGCCTGATATTTTGTTGGTGTGACTAAAACTTTTCTGTTCTTTCGACAAACACTTGGTATCTTTTCTCTCATATAGATTTCTTTCACTGCTTTCCTCTGGGATTCGTTCTATTCTTGATCCCTAACCATCTTGAAGTCAATTGCCAGTGTTTATAATGCCAGTAACAAAAAATAGCTGTGATAAAACTACCGAAAAAGGGAAACATTTGTTTACAAGTCCCATAGTACTCGGAAAATAAATGGAATGTTTACAGATTTTTAAATTTTGACGCCGTTTGCGTCATCGGGCATACTCTGTATCTTTGTTTTATGGCAGAATATGTGGCATCGTGCAGCTAAAGTGTTAATGTAAGCCCTAGAGTGTACAAATTAAATCCACATATAAGCTTCCATTTAGCACGTTCATATTATTTATATGAAAAATCTAACCTTTTTTTTGCCTAACAGGCAGCACGAATAGCATATAAGTGTTGCCCGTTAGGCACAACAGTGTTGTTGATTCCCTTATTTCCACTATGAGAGAAATGAATATTTATTTTAAATTTATCCTTAGTTCAATCTTCCTTACTCTTTTTTTAAGAACTATAAACGAATTTTATTTTCTCACTGGGCTATAGTCCAATATACACTGTCAGCACTTAAAATCAAGTAATAAAGAATCGCACTGTTAGCTGTAACTTTAACTGTTAAAATAAAAAGCTAAGGCCCCTTACTGTGATAAAGCCACTTTATGGACTTTCTTTTAGTGTTTATTAGCTATAGTAAAATTAATTTGCTCATAATCCCTTGGAATAGGTTTCAGTTATCTTACCAGCAACCACACTGGTCGATAACTTACAACTATCATACCAGCAACCAGACTGGTTGATAACTTACAGCTATCTTACCAGCAACCACACTGGTTAATAACTTACAACTATCTTACCAGCAACCAGATTGGTTGATAACTTACAGCTATCATACTAGCAACCACACTGGTTGATAACTTGCAACCAAATTACATGTGAATGCCTTGTTTAGTTAATAACTTAAATATTTTACACTACAGCCATGTTAAATTTTTCATGTTAATATTTCACCAAATTTCATAGTTTGAGTTTCCTTATATGTTACTGCAACGTGTCATACACAGAGCGTCTTAACCATTCAAGGTAGTGGCCAGTTAACACAGTGAGTAATAACCAATCAGCACACTACAACGGCCAGATATCCTGAAGTGTATTTATACAGAACCTGCAGTTCCTCAGCAAATTATTATACCTTTGCTGTTAGTAACAATTTTTTTAATTACTTTTAAAAAACAATTATTATTGTATTTTGCTAGTTATATTACCAATTAACGTACAAGTGATTTTGTTCATAGATTGGTGAAGAGGAAGGACTGAGGGAGAACAAGAGTTCAAGTTCACTGGCCATCACCAATGCTTATTATAACTCAGGAATTGACGAAGAAATGATGAATGATTTTACGCCTGAGAAGGAATGTTCAAAGTTGTAAATATATATATATATATATATATATATATATATATATATATATATATATATATATATATATATATATATATATATATATATATATATATATATATATATATATATATATATATATATATATATATATATATATATATATAGATATATATATAGATATATATAGATATATATATATATATATATATATATATATATATATATATATATATATATATATATATATATATATATATATATATATATATATATATATATATATATATATATATATATATATATATATATATATATATATATATATATATATATATATATATATATATATATATATATATATATATATATATATATATATATATATATATATATATATATATATATATATATATATATATATATATATATATATATATATATATATATTTTTTTTTTTTTTTTTTTTCTCGAATTTTCTCGATCTTTCTTATGTTTCTTTCACTGTTGACGGTAATTGAAAAATCAATTCTCCTAAATTCATTTTTATTTCTAGTCTGACGCGACACTTGAACGTGTTTCATAATAACTTATTACATTTTCAAAGACTTTTAGTTTACACACACACACAACTATTACCTGCAAACACTAAACAGAGTTCTTACTATGCTATGATTTAAACAGCTTGCATTTTTCATTTTATATCCGCATTTTGGGTGAGGTGATATGTTACAATAAGTTAATAATGTTAATTAGTTAATAAGTTAATACAATGTTAATAAGTTCTGCATGTAAGGTGTCTTTGGTGGTGAACTTCTTATTGCAAAAGGAGGAAAGATTCGAGGCAACTACAGAAGCACCATACTGTCCCCCGAGCTCAAAGCGGCAGCTAAGAGCCTTCGTGAGAACAAGGAGATAGTTGTCAGGAGAGGTGACAAGTCGCCAATATTCGTCATTCGTAAAAAAGACGAATATCTGGCGAAAATGAACCTCATACTCTATGACCAAACTAAATTCCAAAGGGTAACGAAGGACACTACAGCCGAATTGAAAGGAAAGATTAATAGATTGATCGAAACTATGATTTAAACTGCTTTCATTTTATTTTATACCCGCAATTTGGGTGAGGTTCTATGTTGCAACAGTTTTGGATGAGGTGAACAAAACTTTCAACACAAGACAGAACACGAAACAATGGGTATTAATCGGGTAAATTCAAGGCAAGAATGGAACTGCAGAGGGCCTATTGGCCCATTTTTTTGTGCTTCTATATTGGAGCGGAGTCTTCAAGTGGGTACAATATAGTTGTGCATTAATTGGCTGTTGATTGCTGGTGTTGACTTCTTGATGTGTAGTGCCACGCAGATGTCAAGCCGCCAGCAATCGCTGTATCTATCGATGATTTCTGTGTTGTTTGCTAAGATTTCTCTGGTGATGGTTTGGTTGTGGGAAGAGACTATATGTTCCTTAATGGAGCCCTGTTGCTTATGCATCGTTAAAAGCCTGGAAAGAGATGTTGTTGTCTTGCCTATATACTGAGTTTCTTGAGGCTTACAGTCCCCAAGAGGGCATTTGAAGGCATAGACGACATTGATCTCTTTTAAAGCGTTCTGCTTTGTGTCTGGAGAGTTTCTCATGAGTAGGCTAGCCGTTTTTTTTTGTTTTATAGTAAATTGTTAGTTGTATCTTCTGATTTTTGTCTGTAGGGATAACGTTTCTACTAACAATATCTTTCAGGACCCTTTCCTCCGTTTTATGGGCTGTGGAAAAGAAGTTCCTGTAAAATAGTCTAATAAGGGGTATAGGTGTTGTGTTAGTTGTCTCTTCAAAGGATGCATGGCGTTTCACTTTCCTTCATATGATGTCTTCCACGAAACCATTGGAGAAGCCGTTGTTGACTAGGACCTGCCTTACCCAACAGAGTTCTTCGTCGACTTGCTTCCATTCTGAGCTGTGGCTGAGAGCACGGTCGACATAAGCGTTAACAACACTCCTCTTGTACCTGTCTGGGCAGTCACTGTTGGCATGTTTGTTTCCTTAGTGTAGACTGCAGTGTGGAAAACTCCGCTCCTTTCCATGACTGTTACATCTAGAAAGGGCAGCTTCCCATCCTTCTCCATCTCGTAAGTGAAACGCAACACAGAATTCTGCTCAAATGCCTCCTTCAGTTCCTGCAGATGTCTGACATCAGGTACCTGTGTAAAAATGTCGTCAACATACCTGCAGTATATGGCCGGTTTCAAGTTCATGTCGACTAAGACTTTTTGCTCGATGGTACCCATGTAGAAGTTTGCAAACAGGACACCTAGGGGAGAACCCATGGCGACCCCATCTACTTGCTTATATATGTGTCCATCCGGGCTCAAGAAGGGTGCCTCTTTAGTACAAGCTTGGAGTAGTTTCCTTAGAATGTTTTCTGGTATGTCAAGAGGAGTACAGGCCGGATCACGATACACTCTGTCGGCTATCATCCCGATTGTTTCATCCACATGTACATTGGTAAACAGTGATTCTATGTCCAACGAGGCTCTTATCCCTGTGGGCCGTGTTCCCCGCAGTAAGTCAACAAATTCCTTTGGAGACTTCAGGCTGAAGGCGCAAGGGACATAAGGAGTCAGCAAGCCGTTGAGTCGTTTCGCAAGTCTGTACGTGGGTGTGGGTATCTGGCAGATGATTGGCCGAAGTGGGTTTCCAGGCTTGTGTGTCTTGACATTTCCATACGCATATCAAGGTTTATATTCGCCAATAATATTTGGCAGGTGGAGTCCGGATTTCTTGGCGTTCTCAGAAGATACAACTGACAATTTACTATAAAACCAAAAAAACGGCCATCCTACTCATGAGAAATTCTCCAGACACAAAGCAGAACGCTTTAAAAGAGACCAACGTTGTCTATGCCTTCAAATGCCCACTTGGGGACTGTAAGCCTCAAAGAACTCAGTATACAGGTAAGAGAACAACATCGCTTTCCAGGCGATTAACGATGCATAAGCAACAGGGCTCCATTAAGGAACATATAGTCTCTTCCCACAACCAAACCATCTCCAGAGAAATCTTAGCAAACAACACAGAAATCATCGATAGATACAGCGATAGCAGGCGGCTTGACATCTGCGAGGCACTACACATCAAGAAGTCAACATCAGCAATCAACAGCCAATTAATGCACAACTATATTCTACCCACTTCAAGACTCCGCTCCAGTATAGAAGCATCAAGAAATATGGGCCAATAAAAATAGGCCTTCTGCAGTTACCTACCTTTAATACCCATTGTTTCGTGTCCTGTCTTGTGTTAAAAGTTTATGTTCACCTCATCCAAAACTGTTGTAACATGTCACCTCACCCAAATGTAGGTATAAAAACTCGAAGATGTTTAAGCTACAGCACCAAGTTCTCTCAAGTTACAGCACCGCTCCTGTGCCAGGTAAGTCCACTACGGGCTCACCATAGCCCGTGCTACTTGCAACTTTTTGTTCCCAGTAGCTGAATCTTAAACAACAACAACAATTAGGCTCTATTCAGTTAAAGTTGTGTGTGTGTGTGTAAACTAAAGTCTTTGAAAATGTAATAAGTTTTACAAAATGCGCTCAAGTGTCGCGTCAGACTAGAAATAAAAATGAATTTTGGAGAATTGATTTTTTAATTACCATCAACAGTGAAAAGAAACGTAAGAAAGATCGCGAAAATTCGTGTTAGAATTATTAATCTTACTTTTTCGGTCATAATTAATAATATATGTCTACAGGAAAGACTGCTACCAAAATATACATATATATATATATATATATATATATATATATATATATATATATATATATATATATATATATATATATATATATATATATATATATATATATATATATAGGGGTGGTAGGAGAAGTAATAAGATCTTAAGTAATAAGTAATCTCTATATATAAGAATAGGGGTGGTAGGAGAAGAAAATATCGAAGTGTTCAGTGAGGATCCAAAAGGTCTTCTCTGAGTACTCTTTATTTTCTTCTCTGAGGCTATGGGTCCCTACATTTGCACCAGAGGTGGTACCCCTTCTAGGTTTAAAAAATATATATATATATATATATATATATATATATATATATATATATATATATATATATATATATATATATATATATATATATATATATATATATACACCTACCTAATAGGGGTACCACCTCTGGTGCAAGTGTAGGGCCCCATAGCCTCGTCAAAAAAAAAAAAATAATGAATACCCGTAGAAGAACTTGTGGATCCTCACTGAACACTTTGATATTTTCTTCTCCTACCACCACTAAACTTTTAGTATGTGTTTATATATATATCTAACTTTATTTTATTTTAAAATTTCATTACGCAATAAGGGTTACAACATTTGTTACATGCAGGGTACAAGGCTACTTGTCACAAGTTCTAGAACTTCTACAGCTCCCCAGATGGCGGGCAGAAACCGTGGATGCAGTGAGCTTTTCCTCTCTGGAACGCCACACAAAGGCACTGAAAGAGAAAACTGGAGGCTTTAGGGTCTCTAGTTGTTTCAATTAGCTTGGACCCAAGCTCCCTAAAAAACTAGCAGCACTTTTGCCCAAGGCACCAGGTGTCTCCAAGGCAATGGGGAGAAAACTGTAGTCGGGATCAAGGTCTCTGTATTTAAGTGACTTGGCTATTTCCCGGTGTTTGGAAGCACTGATGGCATATATATATATATATATATATATATATATATATATATATATATATATATATATATATATATATATATATTATATATATATATATATATATATATATATACATATATATATATATGTATATACATATATATATATATGTATATACATATATATATATATGTATATACATATATATATATGTATATATATATATATATATATGTATATATATATATATATATATATATATATATATATATATATATATATATATATATATATATATATATATATATATGCGAACAAGCCTGAATGGTCCCCAGGACAATATGCAACTGAAAACTCACACCCC